CCTCGCTACAACCTCCTTTCAGGTGGTTGTAGAGAGCGATAAGGTCTCCCCTGAGCTGCCTTTTCTGCAGGCTAAACAACCCTGGTTCCCTCAGCTGCTCCTCATAAGACTTGTGCTCTAGACCCTTCATCAGCTTCATTGCCCTTCTTTGGACCCTCACGGAGGTGCTCCTTGGCACCCGTGTTACCTACAGACATGATGAAGCACAGAGGAAAAGCAGTTGGCCATGAGTGAAGCCAGTGAGGGGTCAGGACAGGGCTCCCTGTCCTCCCCCTCTCCTCTCCTTGGCCCTGGGCAGCACCTTCCACCTCTCCAAATTAGCAGCAGATACGGCAGTGACAGAGTATTTGTGGCTTCATCACTGACATTAGCTACCCTGTGTCTCAGCTTCCTCCTGTGTGAGCTGATACAAGGGCACTTCAGAAGCAGTCGGTGCCTACATTTGGGGAGCTTTATACCCAGGCTAAATAATATTAAAAAGTTGCAGGGGAATCACAAGGCTGTTTTTGCTCAGAGCAGCCATCAACAGGGTGTAGGTACAGGGTCCAGCGTAATCTGGGCTGCGGTTAAGCGAAGGCTGAGGGCAGCCATGGAGCAAGGGAGCCGGGAGGACCAGGACCCCATTGCCTGCGGAGGGGCTCACAGCCAGTCCCGGGTCTCCCCCGCGTCTGTGATCTCATTATGGGGCATATTCCAGAACCACCAGACAGGGTTTCAGAGATGATGTTGGAGGGCAAGGACAAAGCCCTGTAGCACCTCAGAGAGAAGCACCTTCCACTGCCTCAGGCTTCAACATGGGCGATAGCTTGGCACCCACCGGGTATTCATCCTTACACATGGAGAGGAAGATGAGTGCTATGGCTTGCACCGTCTTCAACGAGCTTCGCCTGGAAGGGAAACTCTGTGATGTGATCATCAGCGTGGATGGTATTGAATTCAATGCTCACAAGAACATCCTCTGTAGCTGCAGTCACTATTTCAGGTCAGTGCTTGAAACAAGAGGGGATGGGGACAAACAGTATTTCCTAGTCTGTGTCACATTGTCTTAGTTTATCTCCAGTGCTTACATCAGCACTAAAACTCTCATCCAGCAGTTACCCATAGTCCTGGTACCTGCCTGGACGCCAGAATTAATCCACATCTAACAGCAGCTCTGAAGTGGTGTCTGACGAACCCCAGATGCGGTGCAGGGCTGGGAGCGTGGCTAGCCTGGCTTATCTGCCATCGGGCGGGAGGTTTTTGTTCCCTTCGCACCATTCTTCTCTGGTATTCTTGTTGAAGCAAGGTGGCAGCTTGCCCTGTTGCTCTCTGTCCACAGCCGGAGGCTGTGACTCCTTTTTAAAACAACCAGCTAGTAAAACATTAATTAATAAACTACACGGCTTCCCAGCATGGCTACTGCTAGTGCCCAAATTGGTGCCTGGGGAAGAAGGCACGGGGGATAATGGGGACAGGGTTTAACACAGCAAAGCTGCTTTGTTTTTTCAGGGCTTTGTTTACCAGCAGCTGGAACAATGCAGAGAAGATAGTGTATAAAATCCCTGGCACTTCACCTGAAATGATGAGGCTCATTATCGAGTACGCCTACACCAGGACAGTACCGGTCACGGCTGACAATGTTGAAAGTTTGCTAACCGCAGCAGACCAGTTCAATATCATGGGTGTCATCAGACTGTGCTGCGAGTTCTTAAAATCCCAGCTATGCTTGGAAAATTGCATCGGCATCTGCAGACTCACAGATTATTACCACTGCCCTGACCTGCGAGAAGCAGCCTATGTGTTCATCCTCCATCACTTCGAGGACATGACTAAGGTGTCTACAGAGTTTCTAGACCTCTCCGTCAACGAGCTAAAGCACATCATTGAGAAGGATGAGCTCAATGTGAAACAAGAAGATGCTGTGTTCGAGGCTATTGTGAAATGGATTGCTCACGACCCGCAGAACAGGAGGCAGCACATTGCAGTCTTGCTGGGCAAGGTTGGTGCTGTCACGGCGTGGGCCCGGGCGGCTCTGCAGGGCTGGGCACGGGGCAGCTAAGCCAGAGCTGCTTTGCTTTTCTTCTAAGACTGGAGGAAATTGCAGCCTCCTAACGCTGCTCACAAAGAAGTGAGCTTTCAGACTGTTAGGCTAGTGCTACGCTGGGGCACGGGTTGAAAATCCTGTGCTGGGGTTGGGGCACATTTCCTCATGTTTAGAGCTTAAGTTTAACTGTTCCTCACATCCAGGAAGGACCAAAGTTCACATGAGATGACGTTATCTCTACATACACAAAGTTTATGAGCATTTGCCTAGACAAGCTATACTATGCAAATAGCAGCAGGCGTTAGGGCAGTTTCAGTCCGCGTACAGGAAAGCACCGTGCCAAAGCAGCGGCAGACTCCCTGCCATGAAATCGGATCATTTACCCTTGCACACTCCTTTCTGGACTAGCTAAAAACTACACATTTGATTCCCTGGTTCTCTAATAAGCTTTAGACAACACTGTAGCCTGAGAGCAAAGCCATCCAGCATTGGAGCTATCCACAAAGGATACCAAGGTGTAAAGCATCTGCATTAATATTCTAACCTCCTTTTTCCTTTTTTCAGGTTCGACTGGCACTGATGCAAGCAGAATACTTCATGAACAACGTCAAAACGCACGATTATGTGAGGGACAATGACGAGTGCAAAGTTCTCATCATAAACGCGCTGACAGAAATGTACAACCTCAATATGCACGGCCCATCTTACTCTGATTTCACCAACCCGCTCAGTCGGCCTCGCCTTCCCTATGCCATCTTATTTGCTATCGGAGGCTGGAGCGGGGGGAGCCCAACCAACGCCATTGAAACATACGACACCCGTGCAGACAAGTGGGTGAACGTCACGTGTGAGCAAGAAAGCCCCCTTGCCTATCACGGCACTGCTTATTTAAAAGGCTTTGTCTATGTTATCGGAGGATTTGACAGCGTGGATTATTTCAACAGCGTCAAGCGGTTTGACCCACTTAAGAAAACATGGCAGCAGGTCGCACCCATGCATTCGCGGCGCTGCTACGTCAGCGTCGCCGTTCTCCACAACTTCATCTACGCCATGGGAGGGTTTGATGGATACATGCGCCTCAACACAGCAGAACGGTACGAGCCAGAGACGAACCAGTGGACACTGGTTGCCCCCATGCACGAGCAGAGAAGCGATGCTAGTGCGACCACACTGCATGAAAAGGTAAACGGACCGTGAGATTACAGACAGGAGTTAAGGTTGAAGCATGGTGAGCAGGACAAGGAACCAAACAAACATCAGTGCACAGCATTACACAGTGAGCAAGTGCCTGTCCTCTCATATGGCACGTATCGAGGTAGGGACTTTCATGGAGCTCAGCCAGTGATAAACACAGCTCCCACTCAGAGTTCATCATCTAGATAGAAAAGAGGAGTTGTGGGAGCAGGAAAGGTAACAAATGCTCCCTTTAATGTGAGGGATCATTTAAAATAAAGAGGAAGAATGTTCATGTAAACCTTACTCATCAAATCCTCGAGCTGCAGATATGAAGCTCTCTAAGAGGCAGCAACTGACTGGCACGGCGGAGATGCAGACAGGAGTGGCAAAACTCTTCCAGAGCTGCTTACCACCAATAGCCCACTTGCTGCCGGACAGTACTTTTCCTGGCCACAGGTCAAATACCATGCCTATCTGCTTCGTGCAGTTCAGGAAATAAAGGGTCTAAATCCTGCTGGCCTGAATAACTCACTGCACTTTTATTACTTCAAACCCAGGATGACCATTCACATTAAAAACAAAACAAAACCAACCAACCCCCCTGAAAATCCAGCCACACCATTCATTTTCTTCTCAGTGTGTTCTCCCACCAGGAGTCTACCTGCCCTGCTCACACTTTTTTTCCTCCTGTAACAGGTGTATATATGTGGTGGGTTCAACGGAAATGAATGCTTGATCACAGCTGAAGTGTATGATGCCACAACAAATCAATGGACCTTTATAGCCCCAATGAGAAGCAGAAGAAGCGGAGTGGGTGTGATCGCGTATGGCAACGAAGTGTATGCGGTAAGGGAGAAGTGGTACCTCTGCTGTAACACCACCCAGCACTTGTAGTACTTACTTTTGCTAATCTGCATTTCCTAGACTTTCAGGCTGGCCATTTGCTTGTAAGTGAGATTTAGGGAAGAAAGCCAGAGTCAGAATGGTTGATACGCCTCCTGAGAGTATTATCACCTGCACACTTTTTGTTATGAAAAACGCGTGGACAATTTTTAAGCAACTGCAGCAAAGAAATTATTTTCTGCTGCTGCTAACAGCATTAGCAGCACAGAACACTTGCTTGGTCCTGTTTATCGTGTCCATGTACTGCATTTAAACTCTGTAGAAGTGTAAAATCTGACAGTTGCATAAAATAACTTCTGGAAGCTCCAGAAAGAACAAGGGAGCAGTTTGCAACAAGCAAGCATTGTGTTTTGAGATCACATGCTCTCAGCAATGCTCAAACTGAAGTCAGTGAGGCAGGACCAGTTACCATCCTACTTGTGCGCGAAATGATTCGGGTGACAGCGGGTGAGGAAAGGCCTATTTCAACTCTGTACCTCTGGCATTCACAGGTAGGAGGATTTGATGGAGTCAACCGGCTTCGGAGCGTGGAAGCTTACAACCCTGTTGCCAACACGTGGCGCACAGTCCACACCATGTTCAATCCTCGCAGCAACTTTGGCATCGAAGTGGTGGATGATCTTTTGTTTGTGGTTGGTGGCTTTAACGGTTTTACCACTACTTTCAATGTTGAGTGTTATGATGAAAACGCTAACGAGTGGTACGATGTTCACGACATGGGCATATACCGTAGTGCTCTGAGCTGCTGTGTGGTGCCAGGTCTATCTAATGTCGGGGAGTACGTTGCCAGACGAGACTGCTACGTGGACGACTCTTCAAAGGAAGTCAGGTTCACTTCTTCAACAAGTAGCCTGCCTGTATAAACAGCTCCACTTAGCTAATAAAGTCTTCTGAGCAGCAAGTGAATGTATTCACTTATTCTAAAACAAAAACAATTGATACAGGCCAAAAGAATAATTAGTATTTAAAACTTTCATTCTATGGTGCCACAAAATGTGTGTATCGGCCACAGCCTACATAGCAACTTAAAAAATAAGAGGTACCACAGAATGCTAGAGAAATAAAAGGTTTATTTTCATTAATTCACTTATTACAATAAACTTTAGTACAGTGTATTTAAGGTAAAGAACATTACAGTAGGATTTGTTTCAAACAGCCTTACACACACATACTACTTTACCTTACTGGAAGTAAGTACAGGAGTGCTGCTTCCTCAAGCAATCTGCTGAAGTCTACATTAATATCGACAGGAGAGTACAGCTGCCATGATCCACAGTGACATGGACCTACGAGGAGTATCTGACTATTAATGGTCTTCAAACATCACGTTAGTTCCACACTTTACATTCATATTAGTAATAAGATTAGATCCTCAGGAGCACCTGTTTTATCAGCCTTCCGCTCAGGACTGTCTAAATTAGAGATATGATTTATACCCTAACATAATGTGGACATAGCTGAAAATAAATCTAAGCCATAAACCACTTATTTTAAGCTTGCTTTTTTAAGACCATTGAATGTGACAACATACTATTACAAGGTTGTGTTAAAAATAACCTAAAAAGTTGCAATTCTTTGAGACTCAGTTTGTCAGCAGCAATCAGTCTATTCCGTGACACACTAGTTGAGCCAATAGTTCTGATTCTAACATTTACTGTAATGGAGAAAAATTATATTGAAATAGTCTAGCAGAATGCTTGGCATAGTTATTCATAATGCATGCTAAAAAGTTGGCATGTTTTCTTCATTTCTAGAGTGGTATCCTACTATGTGCAAGAGAAAGTCTTATTAAAAATACATACAAACCCAGCATACTAACAGAGTATTCAGGTAGTTATAAAATATTATGTACACATATGGCACCTAGAAATTACTACAATGACAGCCAAGTGCTAGGCAGGATGTGTCCTACTCCACTGATACTTTGAGCAGAAAGACAGGATGTGACACATGCATTTTGTGGCATGTATTCAGTACAGGTATAGAGGTATGATTGTCGTAAGGAGGAGGAAAAACTCCACCCGATGTTCTTTTACATTAGGAAGGCCAGAAGCCAGCCTCCTAATACTCAGCTGAATACACCCTAGGATCGTACTGACATTTAACTAGCCACTATAAACACACTGAAAGAATTCCCAGGCTTTTGTTTGTAGGATCATTTTATAAACACCCAGCAAGCTACGGCAGTCAAGGGCCACAAGGAATTTGTTACGCGATTCACAGGTTAGTGGGCTAAATTACAGCCAGAGTCAATAATGCAATTCTTCCAAACACCTACATGTGATACATTGGATAGTTAGACTTGTCAGTTAAAACCCATGTGCAATGCAATTGGTCCACTTAAAGTCAAGGCTAAAAAAAACCCCAACTATTTAAAAATTCCACAGAACTGGCATAGCAAAAGTTAGAGCAAACCAGTGCTGTCCACAGTGCCCATCACTCACCATGCAAACAGAACATACGAAGGTATAGTGCATCACATACAGAATCATGGCTGGCATTCACAAGTTAAGCTGTCCAGACACTAAGCTGTTTTGACATTGCCTTTGAGCAGAATATCTTTAGTAAACTGTACAGCTTGTATGTCAGCCAGAAGTTCTCATGGTAAGTGCAATAGCAATTTTGCTTAGAAAAAGAAAGACTGCAAGAAGTTTGTTCTTGCATCTGATTTTGTTGCATGCTACCACACGTTAAACTATTTAGTTCATATTCCAACTGAAATAATCATCTTGGTATTTCTCCCTACAAATTGTCCAGATTTGTTGACAGACTACAAGAGGGCTTTGACAGAGCTGTGGTGGTCTGACATACTACCATCCTTCAACTGCTTGTTAAAAATTCCTACAGCAAAGTCAGTGGGATGGAGTATGTAAAATCTTCTCAGTTGCTTCTGTGCAAAGTGTGGTAAAGTATCTTAAAATCAGGTCCCACAAATTTAAGTTAAATCAATGGATTTAGTACTAAAGCTGTGAGGCATTTTCACACTGCTATTCACAAACCCTGCTGTAGGGGCAGTAATTCTTAAACTACTCCAGCCAGATCTGCAAGAGTTCATGGGCCAAACTCCACTGATTAACCCCTTGCTTACAGGCCTGCATGAGCTGATTTGGTAACAGTCACTTCTGAACATCAGCCTTAAACCTGAACAAGCTTATCTATTTCCTCTCTTGCATTAGGCCAGCATCGTACAGTTTAATCTGCCCTTGCATAACAACCCAACAGGCAAATAAAATACAACACAGTTACCGTAGATGAGTAAATTGAGACTAAACTGTTAAGATTTTCAAGGTTGTTTTTTTTTTAAACAAGGCTAGATTACTCTATTACAAAAAGACAAGTTATTGATATCAAAGTGGCAAGTGAACTGCAAAGTGGAGCGTTAAGGGATGTACACAGAGAAACCTTTACACACTATGTGGTTGAAAGACTTACCCAGTGTTTCAGATATGATCTAGGTTGCCTGTTGAATTGGAAAATGAGAAGTATCAGCTCAGAAAGCTAAACAATTAAAAAACAAAACAAAACAAAAAACCAAACTGTTTAGACGTTCTTTTGCAAAGAAGTTGCCCACATCAAAACCACCAGCAAATCATCATATGAACCAAAGACAGTATACAGATCTCCAATGTTTGTCTACACAAATTTTGGAACACCCTGGTTACTCCTCCCTTTCCCTTCCCTAAGATCCTGAGTTAGGTTGCATGTGAAAACCTGGAACATTCAAATGAAGGGAAGGATGGGGAAGAAAAGGAGGTAGGAAGGATGCGCTGAATCCGCTAGTAACCTAAATCATCCTGGAGCTCTTTGGATCAGGGAGAAGGAGTGTTCAGTGGGACAGTTAACTGAGAGGCAGCGACACTCTAAAGGAAATATTCCACGTTCTGTTCCTTGGGAGTATAGCAGTAAGCAAACCAGAGCCAACCAGGGCACTGGTTTATGTAAAACCACCTCAAAATGCGAAAAGGTATTTAAATCATCTTAAATCTTACCGCCACAGTAAGTGAGGAAATTAAAATATTTAGAGACTATGAAAACTCAGCTATCTCACTTCAAGGGGAACGCCAAGTGCTGATTTGTAAGGAGCACTGCAGCACAGCTACTCTAAAGTTTCTCGGGAAAGTATACTGAAGGCAAAGGGTACCGATTGTCAAAGACAGGCTGGAAACAGGCTCGTAGGGGTTCTTCTCATCACTTTTTCACTAGAATTAAAACGTGTGCAACACTTGAGAAAGGATCTACAAGTAGCTCAGTTTTCAACTTATTACTGTGAAATAATCTCATTCTTACTAATCCACACCGATAGAAATGAATAGTCAACACTGGTAGGTGGCTACTTCGCTGGTTTCCACCCCTTTTATCAGGCTGATTGTTGACCCAAGTTTCTAATGAAGCTGTCAAAGACAAACTCAAAGCATCTTCAAATACACCTGAAAAAGAACCTACTGCCTCAAGTTCTCCGTTTTAGCAAGCGTCTTGTGTTCTACCAATCATCCATTTATAAACAAACTCTGCAGCCTCTCTACAACATACAGATACAAAATATTTAATACACATAGAAACATCCTGAAGTAATTTTATAAAGAAAGATTGTGCTTTTGTTTTCATATATAACTATTGCACTTGCCTCCAACTTGGGAAAGCTAAGTACACTAACACCAATTATATGTGAAGTTTAGTCACTGAGAAGGAGAGAATCAAAGGAATGTCAATATGTAAGTGCAAATAAAACAGGTGCTTTCAAGCACACACAAATGTAACCACTAAATTATTAAGATAGAGATCTTTGATTTTCAAAATAGAACTGTTAGAGACTAACCCTACAGAAATCCTTGAAAACAAAGATCTGAAGAGAGAAATAACAGACTTAATGTTCCTGGCTACAGTTTTTCCCTGGGCACCATTAAGTAATACTGGTGGATTCACATAGTTTCACAATTCCCATCCATCCTCAATTTCTGAGCTTCTTAATTTTCAATACATAAAAGATGCTGGTTTTATGCATCAAATCCAATCAACACCCCCATGTCTTATAAAGACATATCAAGTCTAACAAAATGGTTTAGCGCAGTATTTCCTAGATTCATCAGGAGAAGTGGTACTGCAGAAACTAGCACTCAATCTGTGAGCGTGGCATTCTCCGTAAGCTTAGGGAGTGTCGGTGTATTTCCTGCATCTGCCTTTCCTGCATTTGCCTTATTCTATCTTTTTGCCACATCAAATTTTGCGGCATAGGGTATCTTTGTGTTCCCTGCAAGCATCTGAAGGGAATTCTCACATGGCAGGCTGTTGCTCTGCAGCGAGGCTGAGGCATAGGAGGCAAAAGCATCCAGCGCTTTCTCTCGGCACAGTAACGATAGGCCTCCTTCCTGTATTGCTTGTCAATATCATCGCTGTTTTTCCACCCCCCAATGATAAAAACATCATCTTTATAATAACAAATAGCTGCTCCTTCAATGCTAAGAACCTCTGGGGGTAAGCTTTCAAGTATTTCATCCGAGGCCCTGCCAGAGATCTTTACCTTGGCTTCCTCATTATCTATAGGATAACTCTTGGGGCAGCACGATGCCGTATGGTAAAAGTTTGTGTTAGCAACAGACATCTGAAAAGAGCAATAGTTATCAATGAGTGGCAGAGACTCCACATCCTGCCACTGCCTTGTTTCAGCATCGTATCTGATAATAACTGCCCTCAATCCATCTTCGCTATCACTGTCAACTGGGGTACGAGCAGCAACATAAACAAACCGGTCTTCTACAGAAACAGCTTTGACATCACGAAGAATCTTTGGTGCTGACTCCAGGTTAAGCCATTTGTCTTGCTCGGGATTATAAATGGCCACATCTTTAAAGCCAGGACTGAAATTGCCATGTCCGCCAATACTGTACAAGTTTCCTTTAACTTCAGTAAGGCCAAAAGAATGCTTTCTGGTTATTAGATTTGAGACTTGTTCCCAAATATTTCTGTTTGGATTGTACCTTTCTACAGTCTTGGCAAACCCTGGTTCCATGGAGCCAGCCACATAAACATAAGATTCTGTCACAGCAACAGCATGCCCATCAAGATGATTATGTATGTGCGGTAAGTTTACCCACCTATCTTCATCGATGAAATACCCTACGCACTCACTCAAGTAATCTCCTCCCTCTGACACACCACCAATCACCATAATGACGTCCATGTTTTGTCCAAAACGCGGCAACAACGCTACCGGACAAGCGGAATGTTGTAGATTACCAGACTGCAAGTTCTCAGACCGCAAGGCGTGACTCTCCACGGCTTCAGACACTAATTTAACACAGGCCTCGTTGCTCGATACCAGCCTTTCAGATTTGACATGGCGAGTAAGGTAAGTGGGTTTCATCTGAGACAATCTAAGCAGTTTAAAGAGATCTTCAAAGTACCTCTCTCTTTCCTCAGGATTTTTCTGAACCCACTTCAAAACAGTCTCAAAGAGGATTTCTTCAGAGTCCACTGTGATCTCCGAGTCTGAGAGCCAGTCTCTGATGAGGTGAAACGGCAAAGTGTAGAACTCCTCATCTTGAATAACTTTGTGGAAGTTTCTCCTGATCATATCCTGAGCTTTGAGGGCCAGCTGATTCAAGGAATACATGTGGGCTAAGCTGTGAACCGCAACACAGTTGGAGAGGTTGAGCTTCTTCTTCAGAAACTCCCCACAGAACTCTTTTAACCGGGTCAGTAGAAACCTGCAGAACAAACGAACAGGGGTGATGTTGCGGCCCGGTTGCAGCCGGTCCGGTCGCGCCCCCCGCGCCCGGGCCCCGCTCCCCT